ATGTCATAAGCAAAAAGGAGAGCTTTACTTCTTCTTTCCCTATTTGGATCCCCTTTATATTTGCATCTTGTCTTATTGCTGTAGCTAAGCATTCTAATACTAGATTGAAGAGCAGTTGAGAGAGTGAACATCCTGTCTCGTTCCTGAGTTTAGAGGAAATGGCTTTAGTTTTTCACCATTGAGTATAATGCTGGCTGTAGGTTTGTCATATACCACCTTTATTGTATATCTTGGGTCTTTGTTGAATATTTAGTACATCGGCATATATTTTTATCAGTCAAGTTAATTCAGAATTTAAAGCTTTTTAAATGTAATGATGTACTTATCTATCTTCTTTATGTTGCTTTCATTTTATACCAGAAAACTAAATGTTATTATTGACTTGAATGTTTACAAGTTTAAAATAATTATCTTTGGATTTTAGAACATAAAAAGATTTCAGGAAAGTAGTTAGCTAGGTGGTTGATCCATGATTGTGATATAGTGTTTTCCCTACTATAATCCATTCAGTATTATGAACAATCTCGGTCAACCTACATGGTCCTTATTCTTACAGTAAGTTAATATGACCTTTTAGACATGTAAACAACTATACCTTGGTCTAAGAGGTATAGCTGGTTTTAACTACCAGTTCATGCTAGGTTGAACACTGCTCTAAAGACTTGAGTTTCAAGAAAGGCTGGTTTTCACAGATCTAAATAACTGCACAGATCAACCAGATTTAACAGACATCTACCGAATATTTCACCCAGCAGCATCAGAATACACATTTTACTCAGGAGCACATGGAACATTTTCTAAAATAGACCACATTTTAGGCCACAAAGCAAACTTGTCCAAATTCAGAAACATTAATGTTATACCTTGCATTCTCTCAGACCACAAGGGCATAAAATTAGAACTCAACACCAAAAGCCACCAAAGAAAGTCCAGTAACACATGGAGGCTGAACAACACACTGCTGAATCACCAGTGGATTATGGAAGAGATTAGAAAGAAAATTCAAATGTTCATGCTATTCAACAAAAATAAGCACACAAATTACCATCTCCTCTGGGACACAGCAAAGACAGTACTCAGGGACAAGTTTATAGCACTGAGTTCCTACATCAACAAATTGGAGAGATCTGAAACCAACAATTCAATGAGACATCTGAACCTTCTTGAGAAAGAGCAGCAAGATAAACCCCGATCGAGTAGACAGAAAGAAATAATTAAAATTAAATCAGAATTAAATGAATTAGAATAAAAAAACTATAGAAAGAATCAACAAAACAAAGAATTGGTTCTTCAAAAAA